CGGTAAAACGACCGATGAAACTTCGTGGAGCCCGTGCCCCGCTGCGAACAATGCTCGTCTTACATGAAAGAAACAGGCCCATCGAACGATTCGTACTAAAAACGCAGGACGAGCGGTCGTTGACCGCTTAAAATGAAATTTCTAGTCCGTGGGAGTTCCCAAAATTTTTTTCGTTCGAGACCGCGTTCGTCATCCGGTGTACCTTTCACCTACTGTACACAGACGGTCGGTTCCTTTCTTCTTAAATGTCAGCAAGAATCGTTCACCCTTTGTGGGCCAGGTTGTTCCTTCGGCCGGGGAAAAAGTGACTCGAATCGCTATCTAATTCTTTGGATGGTTTCAAAATAGCATGCTAGAGGTGAAGGACCTCTCTTTCTCTCTCTCTCTCTCTCTCTCTCTCTCTCTGTCTTTCTCTCGTCGGCCAGACGAGTCTGCGAAATCGTTTCACGGAGAAACGAATAGAGAAGAGAGACGGACAGAGAAAGGGAGACGCGGAGAAATCCAGGCGGCAACCTTTCGACACCTTCTTTCATTTTCTTTCGAAATTTCGAAATTTCGAAAACGGAACCGCTGCTCCCGATGCGGACGGATCGGTGAAACGGTACTTTTACGAGCGCGTCTGCGGCTCCCTTTCGATCCAATTGTTCCTCTCGAATATCGGGGAGCCCGTTAGACCGGCGTCGTTAGATAATCACGCGCGAATACGTTAGGACCGATCGCTCGAAGTATTTTTATGGCGGCGATCTCTATTACTGCTCGCTTTCTATTCGGGAGGACCGGTGTGAGAGGGGTCAACGACCCGCGAAACCAATTGAGCAATCCACGAAACCGAGACCGGCTGCATCAGTCATCGGTGCCGGCCGAAAAGAACCATACGTGTCCTAAAAACGTACAACTATTGCCGCTGGCGCGTACGCCTCGCCCGTCGGGAGGGGATTCACTCGAATCCGGTCTTTGAATTCAAATTTCGCGTGCGTCCCCTGAAATCTTTCACTCGCTAAGAACTTTCAAATGTCGGAGACCCGTTTGAACCGGCGCGTTTTGTCATCTCCATGCTCCGCGGGCGTGAACGTCGATCGAACCGATTTCAAATTGGTTGCCGAACCTCTGGAAAATATCATTATCTGGAGGCAATTGCACCCAGTGGAAAGAAAATATTTTTCTCTCGTTGGAAAACCCGTTCGGACGTCGATTACGCGTTATCTTCGCGTATCGCGCGCGCGTTCGAGGATGTAATTCTCTTTTCTGGATTTCGTCAAATTACGCGTGATTTCTTTCGATCGGTACGAGAACTCTGAGAAATCGTCTGAAATGACACCGCCTTCCGATCGGTCCGAATTGTTTCTCCTCGGAATAGAGTTGTCAGGGTAATTGAACGTAGCTTGCGTCGCGATTCAATTGCAACTATTCCACGTTCGCGCCGGCAGATTTTCCTATGGACGATATTGAAATCTCTTGGAATTTTCTAGGTTAATCCGATAAGAGGAGGGAAGCGGACACGACCGAACCAACGCTTGCATGCTTGCGACATGTTCACAATGCAGCTCGAACTTGCTCGATAATTCGGTCAACCAACCTAACCTGTGAACTCCTGAACAGCGCGATGATGCATCGCGGATTCTTTTCTTCTCCGCGATACGAACAGATCAACACGACCTTCTTTCCAAGAATCAAACACCTCGTGATCCCGCGTTCTTGGGGGAGCCGCGCATTCGAAAAACTTCGCGAATCATGTAGCCTCTCGATAAACTACCGAGGCAGAATGCAGAAGCTAGGGCGATCTCGCTAAGTTCCCTCTTCTTGGAAATTGATTACAGCTGAGCGTGAAGTTCCGATTACCGAAGATTCATCCGAGAAAAAGTATTTGATTCTGATCGTATTGTTGCCGTGAATGTACCAAACGAGTTGTTTAAATTGTAACTGATTGCTCGCTGCTTATCAACGCACCATTGCACGCCTTAAAGGCTCGATCGAGCCTTCGATATATCTTTGAGTACTTTATCGACCGGTAAACTGTAATTGATCGACGTCATGACAATTACGTATCTCTCTCTTCCAAATAACGCGTCTTTCGAGAGCACCGTTAGCACTGGGAGAAATTCTTTTAGGCGGTGTAACTTTGTCGATAGCTACGGAAATAGATATCCACAGAAACCTATGCTACTCTGTATTCTGCCAGAAGATTTCGATCCACAAAGCCCCGTTTCATCTTCTGCCAGATAAGAAGATCCATTTACAACGTGTTTACTTTCAACATCTGACATAACAGTCAAAACTGTTACAGCCAAATTTCTTATCGTATTTTTTCGGCGTGCGCTGAGTAAGTTGACACTTAAACTTCGTGACACGCCCGACCGTTCGCAATCAGCGTCGAATTATCGGTGACCATTGTTTTTCGAACGAAAGTTCCTGTTGCTGACTTTTAAACCGCGCATCCAAATGTTATCTACGCTCTTCGAGTCGTTCGAAAAAAAAGAGCAACGCGCAACCGTCACGATCAATCGATGAACCAGTGACTCTGATCCATTTCGCTAGGTCTAGGGTTCGTTAACTTCGATTCAAACTTGGCCCTGGACGGGTGAAAGTTTACGGTGAAAGTGTACGCGGTAACGATCGGATAAACGAAAAATCGACTTACTCTGAAGAGCCCAGGGTGTGTAGCGGTCGACTTCTTTCAAATAAAGGGCGCTGTCCCGGAGGCATTGCTCGGACGCGCCGTCGGAGGGTGCGAAAGGTTTCGCAAGGAACTCGAGGACGGTTTCCGGTCTGACTGCGCCGGCGAAGTTCTCCGAGGACGCGACGAGTACCAGAAGATGCAGGAGAACCGGCGAAAAGAGCCGTGGGCCACTGGAGAGCCCGACGAGAACGAGGAAACGCATCGTGGTCGCGTTCGATGGAATATAGTCCGTGTTTCGGGGCCGAAGCACGTGGCGGCCGCACGGGTCACGTGTCCACTGGTGGCCTAGGTGTGCACGCGTCAAAGGAGGCGGCAAAGTACGAGACGTCAAAACGTGAACTGTACGTTCTGTCAATCGCTGGTGCATTTATATATGTTACTGGTGGCGCTGGCACGATGATGGGGGTAAGAGCATTCGACTCCGATGGGCACCTCTTATCGATGCGACCGAGGATTACGCGCTGCGCGTAATGTGTCTCTCCTCCCGGCACGCCGGACCGGAGAGTGGGAGCGCGCGTGTGTGCCACCGTGGTAGGAATTCGACGATCGGAAAGATCGAACGGGGATTCTCGCCGCGTGAAAGACGACCACGACGGCCGCTACTTCCTCCGGCCTTTCGACGGACTTTTTCCGTCGATCTGCACCGAACCGAACCGATCCGCGGATCCGCGTTCATCGTCCACTGCCTCGTCTTCGCTCCCTGACAGAATCGTTTCGTGTCACCGCGAATTAACCAGTTCCCTTCGGACGATCTCTCTCTTTCTCGCGAGCGATCGCGATCTCCCGATAAAAGTTCCGAAGAAAATCTCCGAACGTGTTTTATACTCCGGCAATCGTGCCGCCGCTGTGTAACTGGGAAATGTAATACGCTCGTCGTCGAATAAGTGCTGCAAAATTCGAATGGTCGCAGACGGTTTAAGTGGTCGATTAGATTTCAAGTG